GGCGAGAGAGATGTATAGGGGGGGTGTGTGTGTGTGTGTGTGTGTGTGTGTGTGTGTGTGTGTGTGTGTAATCTTAGTTTTGAAGGTTTCTATGTAGAAGGAAAAACCCAGGCCTCTACAGACAGAAGCTCTGCACTGACAAGTGCTATGGCCATGGGCAAGTGGTAAACTTTCTCTGAGCTGTGGAGTTTCCTCCTCTATAAACCAGGGAGGGAATGGATTAGGCTTTCTTCATGGGCTATTGTGAGGATTCTACAAGGATGAATTTGAAAAAGTGCAGCCAGGACCACATAGTGGGCAGACAACAAAAGGCAGCATCTCCAAGGTGAGCACAGGGTCCTTCAGGGCCAAGGCCCAGCCAATTCTCTTGAGGGTTGGAGAGGGTATTGCTCTCTGTGGGACAGACTGTGTGCTGGGGTGGGGTTGGATCCTGTCTCCCCACCCTGGGGTGCTGACCTTAGAGCCTGAAAGGAGACACCGGGCTGGGGTCAGCCTGGGGCCCAGAGGCCCAGAAGCCTGTAACAGGATCTGCTGCCACCTGCCCCTGACACCAGCCGCGTTCATGTTTGGTAGCAACTCAGAGCTGTTTGCTGCCTGACAACTAGGCGGGGCTTGCCCCAGGAAGATGTGAGGGCTCACCTGCTCTGCCCCTAGCTTGGCGCTGCACCAAGGGTCCACTGACACCCTCTTGGCACCCCTACCCACCAGAGAAAAGTCACCAGCAAGATGGTGAGCACACCAAAATGGAATATTAGTTTCATCTAAAAGTCCCTGCTGAGTCCTCCCCATTTCTTACCCTGGTGAGGGGATGAACCTCACTGAGAGAAGACCAGACTTGCGGAGAGGCTCTCAGCTTCCCACCCTCCCTGGAAGATGCTGGGGCTGTGCTGCCTACCCACAGTGGTTAGAAAGAGATGCACAATGTTTATGGCAATTGATCTACACTGCAAACTAAGAGGGCATCTGGGATGGTTAAAGTCACCAACAGTCTCAGGGACAGGAAAGATTATGTGGGAAGTTCCCAGAAATTCCCTCCTTCATCATTCCTTCTCTTCTTTCCTGGATCTCAGAGAGGAGGGGTTATCTGGCCACATTTCATCTGCTCAAGAACCTACTGTCCCAGGAAGCCTTCCCTGAAGCTAGCAGGCCCTCCCCTCGAGGACACCTTGGGGTCATGCACAGTTACTATAGAGTTCTTACATGTGATCCCTGCCTTGCCCCTCCCAGGTTGAGAGGGACAGGGCCCTTGTCTCCTGCCTGCTTTGCTATTCCCAGGACAGCAGCTCAACAAAACTGGGGGAAGGCGGGGCAGGGTGTCCTAAATGTAGAGCCAGAGGTACCGGAGACTCATGCTAATCATGATTAGATTTGCCAGCCAGGGATGGTGCCCACAGAGCTTAGCAAGCCCTGCCTCTTAGGCCATAGGTGGGCAGCCTGAGGCACCCATGGCCCTGCAGGGGGCTGGTGTCACAGTCTTTGTGACTCAGGGAGGACTCAGGGGGAAGCTCCCTGTTAGGAGCCAGGTTTTCTATGAGGTACAGGATGGGGCCAGGGGCTACAGCCTGGGATGAGGACAAAGGGGGAAAGGGTCTTGCCTTCCTTTTTCAGAATTACAGTGCACATTAGCCCACTCTACGTTCGGTGTCTGATGATGTTCCCCAGAGAGGAGGGACAGCAGGCAGGTTTAGGTGTGTGCGTTTCTTGTGAGTTTGTTGGGGAAGCCTGCCCTGGGAAGCAGCCCTAATGTGGTCCAGGCTGAGTGCACTACCCCTATCCCTGCCCTCCAGTATTTATAGAAGTTATTTTTGGAATTTTCTTTCTGAGCTCAAGGCACATTCCTGGGATTCTGTAACAGCCTTTCCAGCTGGGAAACAGAGAATCAGCTGGAAGCTGCTGGAGCCTTCTGGTCCCTGGAGCCCCCTGTTTGTGGACACTTGGGCTGTAGGGAGGAGCCTGCTCTACAGGAGGGGCTCCCTCCTTTCAGCTGCCCTAGAGACTTGGCATACCCTTCCACATCCAGCCCCAAGGTCCA